ACATGTACAGAGTTATTCACAAAAGGGTGAAGAGTTTGGAGAAGGCAGGAGAAGTCAGGAGAAGTGAACAATCTAGGCCAAAATAGCTGAACTGGAAACATTCTCCGATTCAGCTCACTTTCCAGTTCAGCTATGTTGTCCTAGAATCCTAGATTGTTCACTTCTCCAAACTTTTCACCCTTTTGTCAATAACCCTGGTGATTTGATAAAACTGTAAATTTTCATGACAGGTCCAGACAGAAACTGTCTGTGATGCCACTTAGCAACTAATAAGATGTAAACTGGAATTCAATTGATTGCTATGGACGACATCAGCACTTCTTTCCCTCCTCCAGGTTTTCTATGTTTCCCCGGTAGCAGCAGATAATTATATGTTTACCATGTTTAATGTTATGTAAATATAATTTTGTTTTAACTAGAGTTTATTGCAAGGTGCTGGTTTACTTTAATGAAATCTGTTTTTCTTTTTCTGTGTTCATAGCTGGGCCAAGACTTATTGAATCGGTAAAAAACTTTTCATGAACAGGAAGTGGGCAGAGATAATTTATTATCATGAATTTCCATTGAATACAACACTGACCTCTTAAACCAGAAGAATATCAGCTATGCATCCAAATAACGACTCCTAACTTCCCTGTGAACGGCTGAACACTAGGCATTAGTCCCCTCATAATCCAGCCAGTGATTTGGAAAAACACCAAAGTATATATTTCCATGGTACCTGTACATGCAAACCCAGAAGCAAGCATGGCTCCCAGGAGCTCCATTTCTACTTTATGTTCATTTAATTTAATTCACATCTCGCTTTCTCTAACACTGCAGGCAATGCACCTGCCACAACTTTCATGTCTTATCAAATGAAAGCCAGAAAACACTTGTAAGTTTTGTAGTTGGCCTGTGTGCAATGCAAAGAAAATGTAATTATGACATTGGAAATCTCAACTTTCAAGATATACTGTAGCCTTACAAATAAACTGCCATTTTACTGTTTCCAAAAATGAAAGTCAAATGGAAAAAATGACTGTAAAATGTTGCTTGTGCAGCCTTTCTCTACCAGTGTACCTTCCGGCTTCCTCAGGGTGCCTTGACATTTTTGCACAGTGTCATGCCTTTCCATGGTACAGGCAGACTTATGATTTGAAGAGGGGGATCCTGATGTGAAGGGGAAACTCTGATATGAAGGGAGAACTCTGATGTGATTAGGGGGGATCTGATATTAACCCCTTCGTGACTGACGACGTACAGTGTACGTCGCCAGCATCAGGCTTTTTAAACAGACTCCCGGCGACTTTTGCCGCCGGGAGTCTGTTTAAACTTGTAGAGCCGACTGTTGGCTTTACAACAGAAGCGATTCTGGCGACTTACCTGTCGCTAGATCGCTTCTGTGTCCCAAAGAAGGGGCCGCCCCCCCCCCCGGACACCGCCAACGAACTTCCGTTAACATTTTAAAAGGCCCCCGCGAGCACGCGCGTTGCCACGTAAACACGCGTCGGGTGCGCCTACGTATGAAAACGACGAACGCGCTACACATGTTGGGTATCGCCGCGCACGCCGGAGTGAGAGCAATAATTCTAGGGCCAGTATTTTGGGGTATCTCTAAATTGATGACCTGTGGGGGCTTTTAAAGCGTCTTCTGTGGACTTTTTGGGGTACTGCAGTTTTTCGCCGTTTCACGGACGCATGCAATTAGTAAACTGGGCATGTTGGGTATCGTTTTACTCGTTGTAACCCCATCTTTTATATTTCATTTAAAAAATGGGTATTTGTATGTTGTGTTTTGGAGCATTTAATGAAATTTATCACTACATTTTGAGGTTTAATAAGGAGTTGCGCTAATATTGCTCAACATAAAAATTTGCAACTACCACCATTATATTGTATAGGGTCTTGGCATTCAGAAAATATATAATGTGTGGGGGTTTTAAGTAATTTTCAGGCCTAAAATGTGGAATATAACATGGGTGCAAAAAATGGAAAAAAAGGCCTCAGTCATGAAGGGGTTAAAGAGGGGAATTCTGATTTGAAAGGGGGGGCTCTGATGTGAAGGGGGCTGCTGATGTGAAGAGGGTTTCTGATGTGAAGAGGGGGGGCTTCTGATGTGAAAGGAGGACTCTGATATTAAAGGAGGGGCTCTGATGTGAAACAGAGGGCCCTGATGTGAAGGGGGGTGGGGGGCTTCTGGTGTGAACAGGGCTCCTGATGTACATAGAGGGGTTTCTGGTGTGAGGAGGAATCTGGATGTGAAGAGGGGTGTCTGATGTGAAGAGGACACTTGATGTGAAGGAGGGCATCTGATGTGCAAGTAGGGGGCTCTGATGCGAAGGGAGGGGGTTCCTGGTGTAAAGGGGGGTCCTAATGTAAAGGAGGAGTCTGATGTGAAGGGGGGCTCCTGATATGAAGGGAAGATTCTCATGTGAAGGAGAAAACCAAATTTGTTGTGTTCTTTTGCATAGGGTCCCCCCTTAAAATCCATATCAGACTCTATTTGCGATAAGGGTCTGCTATGGATTTTGGAGGGGGCCACACATCGTTTTTTACCTTTTCACACTTATGTTTTTTTACATTTTAGACTGGGGTGCCTCGAGATTTTGCATATTTTTAAAGGGTGCTATGACTGAAAAAGGGATGAGAAACGCTGTATTAGTGCACTGTAAGACCTTATGTAGGCTCATCCTGACTCATTCTTACACCAACGGTCATACAGATAACATAACAGAAAGTTTCAGGTAAAGAAATAACAGCTACTTATCTAGCATCTTCCAGCACATATTCAAAAATCAAACGGCATTTTCATTCTATTAAATTGTATATATATAAGCATATACGTTTACTTATTATTGATTGAGGACAAAGTTCAGCAACCCATGGCAACCAAATTTCATAGTGTTTTTACTGTGAAAACCTGAAATCTGATGAGTAGACTGTAGGGCTTATGCTCTTTGTGCACAGTCATGATACTTGGCACCGCCTTATTAAATAAGTCCAATAATGTATCACAATATAATATGTCTCATCTCTGAAAGCTATTAAAAAGCAGCAGCATTAGTTCAGAGAACATGATCATATGTGATATGTGTGGTACAATTTAAAAACTGAAAGATGTAAAATGTGATTGATTGTTATGAGCTAGATTACTGTTTGTCCTTTCAATTTAGCTTGTTTGCTTGCTTCAAATGTTCCAGTACTAGATCACAAACCAGTAATATATCAGTAAATCTAGATGGAAGATCTGCCTAAAAAAATTAACTGAATGACTGCCGCAAAAAAAAAAGGTTGTTGCACTATACAGACTGTTGCATTAAGGAATGCAGGATTGGTACTAGTTACAGACAGACATCCCCCATAAACATGTAGCAATTAAGAGGATACAAAGTTTTGCTATCTCTCTTATCAGTTCTAGTTATGTTATGCTACAAAGTATATATGTATTGTGAAGTTGAGGTATGACAGTGCAGGCTAAGCACCTGCAGGTTATGAGTATACAGATGACAGGGAATACTAATAATAATAATTGTATAACACAAAAGAATAAAAGGTTTGACAGTGTATCATGTAACAATGGTATATTGCATTTCATATCTAGATGTATAACCTTCTCATACATTGCTATTTATGTTCATGAGATGGGTTTTATTTAAACTAGGCTATATATATATATACACATATATACACACACATTCTACTACCAATATAATGCAACTACGTAGGCACTGGACAGCAAGAACAACCCATGTATCTCTCACTGAGACCAGTATAATCCACTGAGGCACAGTCTGGGCACTGGACAGCATTTACAACCCAGGCATCTTTCCTGGTAGTCAACCCTACACAAATATACCAGTATAATCCACAGAGGCACACTCTAAGCACTCGACAGCAGGTACAACCCATGCAACCCCCCTTGATACTCTGCCCCACACATACAGTATATACCAGTGTAGCATGGGACAGCAGGTATAATCCATGTATCTCACCCTGATAGGTAGCCCCACACATATATGCCAGTGTAATCCATCTAGATACACTCTAAGCACTGGTCAGCAGCCACAACCAATGCATCCCCCTTGATACTCTGCCCCACTAGTATATACCAGTGTAATCCACCTAACTAGGCACACTCTAAGCACTGGACAGCAGGTGCAGCCCATGTATCCCCCAGTGATACCAGTAACCAGACACGATCTAAGCACTGGACAGCCCATGTATCTTCCAGTAATACCAGTAACCAGACACACTCTAAGCACTGGACAGCCCAAGTATCTCCCAGTAATACCAATAACCAGGCACACACTGAGCACTGGACTGTCCATGTATCTCATAGTAATATTAGTACCCAGGCACACTATGAGCATGGGACAGCATTTGTATTTCCTAATTATACCAGTACCCAGGCACACTATGAACTCTGGATAGCCATGTATCTCCCAGTGATACCAGTACCCAGGCACACTATGAGCACTGGACAGCCAATGTACCTCCCAGTGATACCAGTACCCAGGCACACTATGAGCAGTGGAAAGCCCATGTATCTCCCAGTGATACCAGTACCCAGGCACACTATGAACTCTGGACATCCCTTGTATCTCCCAGTGATACCAGTACCCAGGTATATTATGATCTCTGGACATATCTTGTCAGTGATACCAGTATCCAGGCATATTATGATCTCTGGACATACCTTGTCAGTGATACCAGTATCCAGGCACACTATGAACTCTGGTCATCCCTTTTATCTCCCAGTGACACCAGTACCCAGGCACACACGAACTCTGGTCATCCCTTTTATCTCCCAGTGACACCAGTACCCAGGCACACTATGAACTATGCACTTCCCATGTATCTCCCAGTAAAACCCAGCATAGACCAGTAAAGGCTTGTTTGGAAAGTTCAGTCCCCATCCTATGTGTCAATGTATCCAGACATGGGGGGTACTTTCCCTTGTAATTCAGGGTACACTTTCCATCATTCACACTATACAGACGATCTCTCTCTCTACTTACGATCCGAGGACCTCCTTGAATTCAAAGATCTTCTTGATGTCCTCCACTTGTTTCTTCCACGATGTGCTATTGTCGCCGTTCTCCCGAGCCATGGTGACAAGTGTGGTGCTCAGCCTGCTCCTTCCTCTGGGCTGCTTTCACTTCGACTTCGGAGACTTCCTGCTCGACTCAAGCCCGGGGTGACAAGTGCAGCATCGGAGGTGTAGAGTGACTGACGATCGGGGCAGACATCAGTGCCCGGCTCATGTATAGACGGCTGTGTGATGAGAGTCAGGCAGGGGGTGGTGCTGCCAGTTTGCAGGCTGGGCTCCCCCTACTCCAGCGCCTGTCGGTGTGTGATGATGACAAAGGCACGTTCTTATAGGGTTGTCACATCGCAGACCCGGGAGCCCGGCTCACAATGACAACTCAATCATGACTTGGAGATAATTCGCATTGCACCAAAATTCCGCGCACGTCAACGAGACTCCTTTCCTGGGTGTTGGACCTGTCGTTTGGCGGATCCGAGAACTGACTGCACAAAATAAAAAAAATAGAGGAGTCCCCCGGAGAGGAGGAGATCGGGCCCCGGAACCGCACCCCAACCTGCATGACAGCTCTGACACACAAGGACAACAGGATAAGGAGCCTTATTCTATGTACAGTGACAGCTGAGTCCAATGAGATCTGGAAATGACTATATCCAATCAATGCAATCCTTCTGAAGCTTTACAGTAAAAGTCATTTCAAAAGTTAGTTCATCTCATGCAAAAGTTCTCTTCAATTTCTTTATATCTGCAACTTTCATTAAGTCCTTGGCGCAAACTGCCACCGGCCCTTTAAGGGGTTCTGAAGGATGGGAGGCGGAGGTGGGGTTCCTGATCATGTGATTGGCTGCCATGGTGGTTGCATAGTTGGCAGTCCACCCCAAGGGCTCCTGATTATAAACAGTGACTTTGGTCATTGTGCTTAGAGCGCGCTCTCAGCACAGAAGGAAGTAAGGGCCCACCCACTGGGGTGACACATATATGTGTACATCCGGCGTTAAGGCCCACCCACTGGGGTGGCACATACATGTGTACAGCCGGTGTTAAGGCCCACCCACCAGGGTGATGCATATATGTGTACAACTGGCATTAAGGCCCACCCACCGGGGTGGGTACAGCCAACGTTAAGGACATCCACTGGGGTGACTCATATATGTGCACAGCCGGGATTAAGGCCCACCCAGCGGGGTGATGCATATATGTGCACAGCCGACATTAAGGCCCACCCACCAGAGTGATGCATATATGTGTACAGCCGACATTAAGGCCCACCCACCGGGGTGATACATATGTGTACAGCCGGTGTTGATGGCCACCCACCAGGGTGACACATATGTGTGTACAACCAGCGTTAAGGCCACCCACCGGGGTGACACATCTATGCGTACAGCGGGCGTTAAGGCCCACCCACTTGGGTGATGCATATATGCGTACAGCCGGTGTTGAAGCTCACCCACCGGGGTGATGCATATATGTGTACAGCTGGCGTTAAGGCCCATCCGCAGGGTGACTCATGGTGACGTGTTAAAATAATACCTGATATTCCTTCCATAAAGGTTTTCCTTGTTCAACACTTCCTGTGGTTGGGTGACACTGTCTCCTAAATGTGTTTCTATGTTGTCACCCTGTCACACCCTAAGCCTACAAGCAGCCGCATCAACACATTGCACAGGCAGACCACTGTTGTCACTATTGGGAAGCTGGTTCAGGACAATGATGTGCAGCAGATGTTGGAGGGAGTGCATGTAGACAGGAAGGGGCTGAAAGAGGCTGGAGAAGATCAGAAGCATTGAGATTTTTTTTTTTAAAGTATGAAAAAGGTGACAATAATATTTTATAGGAAAGAAAAATGGCAGTTGTTTTTGATACACAGTGTTTTAGCAAGCATAATGTCCTCTAGTTAGGGTTTAGATTCACTTTAATGAATTGATCATCACTTATATTTATTGCAGTAGCATTGTCCCATACATGTGTAGCACTGCCCCATGTTAGCAGTCAGCATCTGCTCACAATGTAAAGTTTTACACAGCCATTAAACTCTCGGATCAGTTAAATGTCCTTATTTTCATGTGCATTCATTCATGTATATACTGTTAGGCTAGGTTCACACTTGGGCAACTCCTGACCGTGTGGCAATCTTGCGCAAAACCACGCGAATTGCTGCGCAGTCAAGGAGTCGCCCACCGCAGGTACATGTACCACTTTTTAGCGATTGCCGTGCGGATGTCAACCCCATTGAAATCAATGGGGGCGTGCGGCAACCGCTGTGTGCACTAGCACACGATCGCGCGGCTCCGGGATGCGCAGCACGGGTGTCGTGCAGGTGTGAACCTAGCCTAAATCTCATGCAGGATGAGCCATAACTGAACCTGCCATGCTTGAGTTGTCCTTGTAGCTGTCAAGCTTTGCTCCTGTGGATTCCACTTACCACCACTAGGGGTCAGTATGTGGTAAGAGTCTGGGAAGACCAATTTTCAGCCACATCCCCATCATCATCAGTTTTTACTTGACTGGAAATTTAGTTTTCATACTATCTCGCAAAATGTTGCGGAATGTGATTTCATTTAAAACATTAAGAATAATTACCTGACAGAATGCAGCTGTTCCAGTTATTTCTGTGTATTTGTTTTAATTTGTTTGCATATTGCATTATGACAAAAGCAGAATAAACAATTAGATAAGCAGCTAATAACATCACATTTTGTGCTAAAGGGAAAGCATTCCGTCAGACAATTACATTCTTTCAGTGCATTCTGGTGAGATTTAAAAAATGACCCTAGACAAAAAAAAATGCTCGGACCTCTGCATGTGTGTGCAAATGTTATCAAAGACCCATCACCAGATTTAAGAACTGCAGGTAAAAGCACAGAAGACTTCAGGATTTTAAAAGATTACTTGCGTTTTTCATTTCTGTACATTTGTTTTTATTCACTTGCAATGTGCCTTTGAACTTGCTAGAAGAATTGACTAGCACAGACCCCATTCTCCTTGTATGTCATACCCTCCTTCTTCATTTCTGGGAATGTTTGCTGGCCCAGCTCCTCCATTCCACCCGTCACCTCCCTACATTAGCTTTAATGTAGCTGCCAGGGCAGTAGTGAAAGGAAATACTCAGATGAGTCACAACTTTGTGTCTGCTGGGCTGCAGACACCACATCCAAGATGGCAGCGCCCAGCAGCAGTCTCAGGGCTTTTGGAATTTTACACAAGGGAAGCTTTCACAGGTAAATAACATGTATAAAAAATATGTGAAAAGAGAACTATGGTCAGACCTTTTTTTGGCCATAGTTCTCTTTAGGCTCACAGGAGGACATTTACTAATGCCTTCCTGTGACCCAAAACTCAACATATAGCGTACTAGACCCCGCTGACAGGGCAGAGCCGCACGGCAGCTGGAAAAGATCTTGACAATATTGTCGGGATCCACCTCGCTGTCGGATTGACAGCCGGCTTTGCCTCTATAGAGCCAGAGCCACAGGTGCCGGCATGCTCCCCTGTCTCCCTCCAGTCAGCACTGGAAGAATGGAGAGGGGAATCCCTGTGGGGAGCAGTGACTGACAGTCACTACTCTCTGCAAGGAGAAGACTATGAACTGACCTCTCAGTCCTCGATCAATAGAGCGACATGTGACAGCTTCAGTGTCACACATCGGCTCTAACTATTGGGATGAGTGCATTTCAATGCCAATAGTATATCCCATAGTTCTCTTTAAATATACATATAATCTCATGGGAAGATTTTTCTTGAAATGAATGGGGTCTCCTTAAAGCAGCGCATTTAATTTGAATAATCTGGACACACACCTCAATGTCTGCAATATATTCTGGAACACAGGGCACCACAACACAACATTGTGGTGCACTGTAATGTAGGTGTATTGACAGCTACTGTATGTGCATTGGAGTGTCTCTGTAGATCAGGTATGGGCAACTCCGGCCCTCCATCTGTGCTTTAACTACAAATCCCAACCTGCTTCCACCCTTGATACAGGATCATCCCCTAATCTCTACCACTATTCGAACAGTTTGAACAGTACTACGTAGTTCCTCACAATTTCCTTCCCTTTGCCTCTGACCCTGGTGCTAGGGGATCCTGACTTTATGCCAGGTGCTGAAAACATTCGATTCCATCGCCTTCTTTCGATAGATAAATTTAGATTGCAGGATTTTCGTGAGAATTCCTCCTGGCTTACGTGCTTGGCCCTCCAATCACTTATTGACCCTTCGCTGGACAGGTGGAGTGCTATGCAACGTAGACATTTGTTTCAGGCAATCCTTGATCCTCATGCTTTGGACATTCCTGAGGAGTTGGGAAGCGGAAATAGGATACACCATTACAGAACAACCATGACATATTATTCTCACCATGTCATTTAAATCATCCATTTCCAGCAAATTTCAAGAAATAGGGTACAAGATAATGACCCGGTGGTATAGAGTTTCCTGGATCTTGCAGAAAATGAGGGCCTCCATTTCAGATCGATGTTGGAGATGTGGTTTGGAATCAGGTACGATGTTACACATTTTTTGGTCTTGTCCATGGTTGAGGTCTTTTTGGGATCAGGTGCTAACTGTTATCGAAGATCTAACCATGGTGAATGGTAGCCCCACTGCAAGGGTAGGTTTTTCTTCTACCTAGATCTCTTCTTTAAGGCAGGCTCAGACAAAGGGTTTATTCTCTCTATTCTGTGTACAGAAAAATCATTTGCAATTGAAGAGTTTCAGGTTATACATTTTATGTCAAGCCAAAAACCTTTTTCTTGTTTTCGAATAGAGTAAGGCCCATTTCATACTTGCGCCTTGGGTTCTGATCCAAAGGGGACCCATGCATAGATCCCCGGCTCATCAGAACAGATGTCACTGTTGTGACATCTTGAGGATAAAACTGAAATTACTGGACTCTTGTTGGTCTATAAGTAATCGGATCAGATTACCAATGATCCGACCTGGCATGGTCAAGTCAGTCGAAATGGAACTCTGATCTATTTGTTTTTCCAGACCTGCCTGGAGCCAGGGGTAACCAGATGTAAATGGACACACGTCCGTTTAGATCCAGCTGCCTATACACTAACATT